ACGGCGACTGACTCTAGAGCTCCGTCGCATAAAAATGCATGATGGACGGAGAAAACGAAGCAGATGAAATGCTATGCCGAACGCCGCCAACGCAAAGAATTCTTTGACTGCTTCAAGGCGGTGTATAGATCTAGGTTTGGGCCGCTGAGGACGCTAATCAATGGTAGTTCAGGCGCAACCTGCACCCAGACTGCAGACATAATGCAGATCTGGCGAAGGCACTTTGATTGTCTCTCGAACAACCGTTCAGAGATTGACTGGCCTACATTGAACGGTATGAGGCAGCACGAGGTGAAGGTGAGTCTGACGGGCACGACGACACTGGATGAGACGCAGAGGGCACTTGCTCAGCTGTGAAACTGCAAGTGTGCCGGTGTCGACGGGATCCAGTCTTAAGTATTGAAACACGGCGGACCCGCGTTGATGAATGTGCTGCACCAGCTGGTGCAATGCGTTTGGATTGACGAGGAGGTGACTTCTGAGGTGAAGGATGGCCTTGTGCTACCACAGTACAAGTGGCAAAGTAGCAAGCAATGTTGCACGAATTATCGTGGCATCAACTTGCTGAGTTGTGTGGGCAAGGTGGTGGCTCGAATCCTTATCAACCGCCTCGTCAGTCAGGTTGTGGAACCGAACATGGTGAAAAGGTAATGTGGATTCCGTTCGGGTCGCAGCCTTATAGACACAGTATTTTCCGCTCGTCAGTTACAGGAGAAATGCAATTGTTGAGTACACCAAAGCATTTGACACGGGGGACCGCGAGGCATTGTGGATGGTGTTGGGCAAGTTTGGTTGCCCGCGTAAGTTTGTAAGTTTAATTGAATGTCTGCACAGTAGTGTACGAGCGACGGTGCAGCTGAGTGGACAGACCTCGGATGAATTTGGTTGTCTCTGGTGTGAAGCAAGACTGTGTCTTAGCTCCCTCCCTGTTCAATATCTATCTTCATGCAATGATGTCTTGTGCATTTGATGCGGCTTGTTCTAACGGTGTTCGTGTAGAGCACCATATGTATGGTGGATTGCTGAACATCCGTCGTTTCGGTGCGAGAACCGTAGTGCGTGAGACAATTATCCGTACGTTGCTGTTTACTGACAACTGTGCGTTGTTTGGACACAGCGCGGATGAGTTGCAGCGCATGACAAGTGCTATGGCTTCGACAGCGCTGAAATTCGGGCTCCCCATAAGCACAAGCGAACCTGTCTGTCTCTTTCAGTCTTCACCGGAGGTGCAACCTGCATTGGTGACGCGGATCAGCATTTGTTGATGACGTATTGGAAATCACCTCCCGTTTCTGCTACCTTGGAAGTGTGGTTTCGATTGATCAGCAAATACACAGTGAGCTACGTATCCGCGTGTCGAAAGCAGCGGCGTCATTCGGGAAGCTAGAGTACCGAGTGTGGAACAACCATCAGCTTACTGTTGGCACGAAGCTGATGGGGTACAAATCCATGGTGCTGTCCGTTCTTCGATACGGCAGTGAAACGTGGACGATGTACCGTCGGGATGTGCGATATCTCAATCGGTTATATCAGCAGTGTCTGCGACGGATTCCGCGCATCGGTTGGTGCGACAGAGTTGCAGAGACGGAGGTGCTGCCACGAAGTGGAATGTATGCAGTAGACTGCATACTTTTGCTGTGACACCTGAGGTGGCTGGTTCATTTGTGGCGTTTGAATTCGACGTGGATACCGGAACAGTCGCTGTATGGCCAACTGAGTGCAGGGATGCAGCACTTGAATAAATCGGTTACTTTACCAGTACATGATCAATGTGAGTCTATCACATTTCAATGTTGATTACAGGTGTTGGGAATCGTATGCGGCTGATCGGTGTACATGGCGCGACCTGATCATGTAAGCACTTGCCAAGGTGTTTGAGAAAGCCCATGTGCATGCAGAGGAGAAACGGCAATTGCGGAGGCGACATGCGCCGGTAGGGTGTACTTTATCGACATCGAGTGTTACCCCGCAGCGCGCGCCTCGCCCACCCCGCGGGATGATCCGATCCCGCACACCCAGAGCGCCACACCCCCAACCCCCTCGACCCGCCCCCCCCACCTGCCCGCCGCACCCTAACACCGACCACGCACACGCTCTGACCCCCGGGCTCCCCCCCCCACCCCTCCCCCACCCACCCCCCCTGCAGCCAAGCCCCCCCACCCCCACCCATACAGCCCAGACACCCTCACCCGACTCCTGACCCTCAAGCCGCAGCTCAGCCCACAACCCCGCACCACTCCACCCGCCCTCCTCCCCACCCCCACCCACACGCCCCCCGTCCTCCACGCCCACACCGCGCACCGACGCCCCCCTCCCCACCGTGTTCCCCCCGGCCCGGGCCCCGGGCCACCCTCGCCACCGACACCAGACCCCATCTCATCCCACCCAGCCGCCCCATTATCGCCACGCCTCCGCCAGCCCCCCTCTCCGCCTCCCCCCTCCACGCTCCTCCCCCCACCCCAGACGCCCTACCGCCCCACTTCCCTCCCCCCCAGCGCGCCTCCGCTCCCCAACCCGCCCCGACCCCCCCCCGCT